TCCAAGTGTAAAGGAGAAACTGTGGTGTTACATGGTCTTTATTAGTTTGCTCAGTTGTCATCACATCAAACAAGTTTGGAACTTCGGTCATTTGATAACAGGTGATCATTACAGGGTCAGTAATGCCTTCCTCTGTTCAGATATGGTGTTTTGTGTTGGATTTAAATGTCCTCCTTGATCTTTCTCTGGCTGTCCACTGATTTCTGGTCAATGACATTTGACCCCTTCAGTCGATGCTTTGACTTTTCTGGTGTTCACAGACACATGCTGCTGCAGCCTGCTTCTAGTTTCTTGTCATGGGTCATGCGCGCCACACAGTCTTGTGCCCGGGAGTGTGGTGTCCTGTCTTTAGGGTGTACCAGCAGAGATCTTATGGTGTTGAATGGTTTGTGGTGCTGGTTTCTTGTGACTTAAAGTCTGTGGCTTGATGTTCTGACAGCCCAGCCACTTTGGTGAAGACCCACATGACTGACTTAGGTCACGCGATGACTCCATGAAAGATTTCCAGTAATTTCTTGAACTCTCTGCTGGTGGTCTGCCAGCTCGTCCATTCAAGTAAAAGTTGGGCACATAACTGCCAATAAAGTGGTGATTTGTTGTTTTTATACTTCAGTTTTGTACGGACTACAGATGCAAGATTAAAGGTGTTAATTATTGAGTTGAGAGGTGCTGGTAGGTAGATTTTGTTACCTTTGGACCCCCCCCCGTGTCCAATCGTTGTGCTAAGTTAATATTTAGACTAGCAGTGGCATCAATCTTCTCATCTATCTCTTAGCTAGAAAGCACACAAGCGTTTTAAACTTGAACTCAAATTGTTTGCTTGTTCTACTGAAAGTCAAATTTTTTTGGATAAGGTTTTATACCTGAAATGTGGTACTGTTTATCATAAATCCATCTGTCTATCCATCTAGGTAATGTACAGAAACAGCAGGGTACCAAGTTTTTGATATTGAGTTTTCATTTTATCATAAAATCTCATTTGGGAATGTTGTTGGGAGATTTAATTTTGTTATTACTTCCTCCGAATTCTTCCATGAGGCAGTACAAACAAAAGACATGGGTCACTGTGGTCTTAGACTGTCTGCTATGTATTGACAGTCATGCCGGTGGTTGAGTGAAGCGTTGGTTTTGCTTGCGTCTGTGCGTGAATGTATTTGACCACAAAACCACTGATGGTCACAGTGTATGTCAGCGTTGACATGGTAAGAACCACGGGGTTTCCTTGGTTGTGTCTAGTAGGCAGCAAATGGATGTTTTCTGAATTTCAAGTGCATGTTATTATTTCAACCATGAAACCACAAAGGAAATATCTGATCCTGTTTTTCCCACTCTGATATACATCTCAATTCAAACATCTTAAAGTTGTATTATTCATACGCAAAATAATGTTCTTCAAGGGCACAACTTAATTGAATGATATACAGAAGGAGCTGAAATTGTCAGGGCTGATTACCATGGGGGAATTTAAGTCAGTTTTAAAAGTTTGAGAAATTTGTATTCTTGGTCCTTGTGATTGTTTCTGAATTGTCATTGAAATCGTTTAGAAAATGGTATCTGTTTATGTATGATTTTATGATTTATAGTCTTTTCTCTCTGACCTTGTATTCCTTATTAACTAGATATTGTGTTCACTCAGTTGTAGTGTCTGACAGTTATATATAGTTACAGGAGTCTTCAAGGCTACAACTTAATTGACTATACACACACACACACACACACATATATATATATATATATATATTTATACAGTATAGAAAAGCCATCAGGAAAGTGAAAGATTGATGAGGAAGTGGATCATCAAGCGTGAGCGTTTGCGACAGCAAGTAACATGGTTTATGGGTGTTGTGGTCGCTGAAAAACACTTGTGAAAACAATACCACTGTATGAGAAGGTGGGGGATTTTCTTTTTATTATTATATATCAAATGGTCTCTGACATTTTCTGTTTATGTTTAGATTGGCTATTTTAAAGGTTTTCACTATAATGTAGGGGAATATTCGTTGTTGTTCCACTGCTCTCACTGACACTTCTTCTGTTGCTATAATAAGTTTTTCAAGGAATTTGATTCAATGTATTACTTTTAGCAGTCCTTTTTTTCTCCTTTTTTTGCATTTTCACATTTTGGAATTGATGACAATGAAGATTGAGTTATTAAATTATGTAATATACATATGTAACCACTAGGCCACAAGGAATTACAGTTTAGCTGTCACATTTTAAGGTAAATACAAACCTGTGCATAAATGTGTTTGTGAAACTGTATTAATTAACACTTTCTTCCTTTATGTATCCTTTCGTCTTCAAGCTTTCTTTGCTAGAGCAGTACTTGCCGTATTTTTTGCTGTCCTCCTTTATGTTTTTCTGTAGACTCACCATTCTGCACCGAAGGTCAACAAGTACATTATTCATGAAGAACAGATGCACATTTATTTACCAATAGATAAAAAAAAAAAAAGTTACTCAGCATTAATTTAAAGTAAGAAGCACAAATCTCCCTTTACACTGAACGGAGAAAATCTCTACTTTCACTATCACTGCTGAGTTCTCAAGAAGTTCCTACCTCTACTGTGTGGGTTGTGGATGGTTAGAGTTGAATGAAGTTTCTGCATGTCATGCCCCCTCTCTTTCCCCCGTCTGTGCCTGTCTATCTTCATCTGTCCTATCAAATAAAGCCCTCAAAACATCTTTAAAAACAACTAACACACAAAAAAGGCTGTTGGCCATTGAAATATCAACAGCACACACAACAGCTTTTATCAGCTTGGATCTCGAAGCGACACAAAAATTAGACACACATTTTACTATTACATTATTTGGAGAGTAAGCATCAGAAACAGAATAACACTCCACTGTGGTCAAGGAACTGGATCTAGTTCACGCAACCAATTGTTGATTGTTCTGACTGACATTAAAAATAGTGAAGTACAAACACGAGGTCTCCCGACCACAGTGTGAACGTCTGTGCAAACAATTGTTCTACTATCACATCAAAAATTTCAGTTCTGCATTGCAGAAGTAGACATTTTCAAAGGGAAAACTCTTTGATTAAATCAGTAGACGTAATCACATGTGCAAAATAGGAAACAAAAAAAAGGAACAGGTGCTATTTTTGGACTTGTGGGGAGGGCCTGATTAATAGTAGTAGTGAAAATTTAACTCTAAGAACTCCACTTGACTTGAAAACAAACAAGACTATTCGGTGCATGTGTGCGTATGTAAATGTACTGTATGTACTGTGTATGTAGGTGTGAAATGGTAATGATACTCTGAATAGGGGAAAATTCAGATCACTAAATGTCAAATCTTGACATATTGAATTAGAGGGGAATTTAGATTGATGTTTTTAAAACTGAACCATGATAAAAATGCACAGAAAATATGAAATAATTCACAATTGTGCCATTGTTCGGCTGCCACTGACATTCAGACAAACAAACAGAAAAATTACCATCACACTAAATCTCTCCAAAGGTCATTTTGTGCTCTTGCGGTGGCTTGTTTGTGTCTGTGTATGGGAATCCCCATTAAGCTCCCTCATCATCTTTGACCTCTACCTTGTCCTAATGTCAGTTTACCCAAAGAGAAAGGAGACTGTGGGAGAGAAAACTTTTAAAGGGGGCGATTCAGAAAGAACATTAGGCAGATGTAGGAGGGCGAGTGGTGCTTCGAAAGTGGACATGAACCAGTGTGTGTCTGTGTGTGGTTGGAGAGTGATGAGACCAGACCAGCGTGATGTAAAGCCCAGCCGACTGCTAACACAAACACACTGGGAGGGGGGAGGGAGGTTAAAAATGATGGGGGAGTGAATGATAGAGTGTTTTGTGTCAGCTTTACAGCGATGACAGGTGTCATTAAGATGCTGATGTTGAGCAGTATTGACAGGGCAGAGGGAGTGTTTACACTAGAGGCCATTATCAGGTTTATCAGCGGAGGACAGATCCATATTTTGTCCTCCAGACGCCCACCCCCCCGACCATCCTCCCTACCACGCGAGCCCAGGGAGGACAGACTTGGCCTGGGTAGAGAAGACTCTACGAGTGGAGAGGCTTGGGATCTGGATTTGAAAGATCTTTCACACACTTAGAATAGAGTTGTGGGGTGTGTTTGCATCATTAGCATAATTGAGAGTGACTGCTGCAGGGCACTTATGGGGAGGTGTTGGCACGCCCCCTAAACCAAAATTACCATTTGACAAATTATGTGAATGAATGAGAGGAGAGGCGTAAGTTGGCTCGGCTCCAGGCTCCTGAGTGACAGTTGGGGTCAAACAGAGTAGGTAAGGGACCTTTGTGTGTGTGTGTGTGTGTCGTGTGCGTGTGTGTGTTGGGTTGTGTACTGGGGAGAGCTTGACTGCTGTGCCATTGGGTTGCCGTCTGTTGGCACACTCACAATCACTGTTTGGGCCGCCTGCCAAGCAAAACATGTCCACTTTATCTGGTAGACCTCTGCCGGAGACAAGCGTAGGATCATGCCAAAGATGGTAGACTATTGTGTCTTTTGTCCTTGCGTGGCTCTGTTTTCCTCCGGCTTAAAATGTTGAGTTGTTTAGCAAGTCTTTGGCTCCTGCTCAGCGGTGCAGCCGGCGAGGCGAGGTTACTCCATGTCATTGGAATCTGGAATCTGTGCACAATGGACCCCCTCCTCCTCCTTCTTAGCACCAGCTTGTGAACCCCTCTGCAAGAACCCTGATTTTTATTGACCCACCTCCTCTCCTTCTGCTGCTTCTCTTACCCCAAACATCCATCCACACATGTCCGGGTCTCCACACACACAGGAGCCCTCAGTGCAGTTAAAGGGCTCCCTGAAGAAGCAATATAAACATCAATTCAAGGACATGGTTCACTTGGAATGCACCCCACCACAACTCCAGCTTTATGTTTCTCCCCCCCCCACCTTTTTAACCCCACCTTTTTAACCCCACAACCCCCGTCTCTCTCTCTCTCCTCCCTCTCTCTCTCCACTCTATCTCTCTCTCTCTCTCTCTCTCTAACACAGCGAGGACAGAGCATGGTTGCCATGGCATCGCTGAGTCAGTACAGCGGTTAAAGCACGGTCACTCTCCTGGCTTTTACTGTGGGATGTTCAGTCAGCACGCTGGTGCGCACCGGCTGAACGCAGCACCGGCTTGGCGGACATACTCTCCGTTTCGGCTCCGCTCTGTCCCGGGATGAGACTTCCCCATCAGCTGTGACGACCAGGTCCGCCGTTGTGAGGCACGCTGGGGGGACACGTCGCACACCTGCGGCTGGATGGAAATAGATGGAGGAACTTGCGCCGCAGCCGCCGCCGTCGCCGCTCTCAGCCGATTACTTCACCTTCTCTCGTGGACCACGGGAGAGCGCGCTTGTAAGCTGATTTAACCCGAGGGATGCGAATAACTCTCCGGGATTAGAAGGTTATTGGGTGAACGACAATGCCCCGCGGCTCGGTCCGGCACTCCCGGCTATTGTTGGCGCGGCTGCGGACGCACGGTTCCCGGTCTCCTCCGGTTCATCTCCAGTAGCTGTATCCCGGTACAGCCTTTGCCCCCTGCGCCTCCTCGCTGCTTCGCTCAGGTCGCCCTCCCGGTGTGGATAGGATAATATGACTTCCTGGCTCCGCACATACGGCAGCGTCCCTCTGTGTCTCCTGCTCTGCTGCTTTGTGTTCACTGTCTGCGCAGAAGCCTCCGGTGCCGGTGAGTGTGGCTCATTATGGCCAATTACATCATATCCCCAGGAATTAGCCCATATCTTGTATCATGTCAAGACATCACTGCGCAACACCAGCTCCTGTGCTCCCTGCAGGGGGTCCTAATGTTTTCTTGTTTTGTTTTGTTTTTTTAATAAAAGAACCCCATTCTTATGAAGGTTTCCTCCTGAAGAAGCCTCATTATGATTTCTTTGATTTCTTGTCATTATCACACGTGTTAAAGAGACTATAAACTACTATTCATTCATGTTATAGGGAAAAACCTCTAAACCCACAATCAGGGGACCCACTGGAATAGCCTCCAACACACCAACCTCTTGTTTCAGCATGTATTGATCAGTTATAATTAAAAGTTAAATGCTTCACCTATTCAGGAGATTGCCAGAGGCCAGGAGTGCTAATTGGGTCAGAGTGGCTTGTTAGGGGGCTGTTAGTGATGCTAGGACCTGCAGCCTTTCTCTGTCCTACATTCCAACCCTGTAGCTCACTAAAATGGCTCCGGAAAAATTGGATCTCAGCAGATAAATCACTTCAATGAATCATTAATTCCACTACAGTGAGCCCCGGGTCCATTTTGTGCCTTTTTGTCACACTGTAAAAAAATCTTCAGTCTCCATCCCTGCTGGATTTTTCTGCTAAGGCTGCATAAAAAAGTATCTGGCCTTAGTGATTTGTCCCATTGTCACTCCATCCATTAAAGAATTTGTGCACATTTAGCACTCACTCATTGACTCATGATTCGATGTCCTTTATCTGTGTGTGTGTGTGTGTGTGTGTGTGTGGAGGAAATGATCCATGCACCACTCCAACAACTCAAGCACCTGTTCCCACACTCTCAGCCGTTTTCCCCCACTACGAAGCTCGCTGATACATACTGAATAGCCTCATATGAGATGCTAAGTGGTGCTTCCATCATCAAAAGTGTGCATGAGATCTCTAAATATCCACAGGGGCTCTGCTGCATGGCTAATGAGTGTTGACACACACATTCTTTCATATGCTAATCACAATATTCTTCTCTTCATTCCATTTCTTCTCCATCTTTTGGCTGACTCTCCTTCTCCTTTACTGCATCGTTCTACCACTTCGACCCCTCCCCCCTCCCACCTCTCTTCCTGCAGGTGACAGTGGGTGTTGGTCTCCTAGTATCACTTCTTGCACAGAGTGTCTAAGCCGCGGACCACAGTGCGCCTGGTGCTTCAAGGAGGTAGGAATGTGTATAAAAGTGTGTGACAGAGATAGAGAGAGAGAGAGGGAGAAAAATCGAGAACGTGGCAGACATTCAGCAGCATTCCTCTGATGACACACACCAAAGCTTTGATGCTAGCCACAAAAGTGAATATAATGTGATGTTTGAGCTTAGTGGCCTACCCTATGACCTCTGTGTGTGTGTTTCCATGCGTGCTTTCTCATGCGGCAGCAGAGACAGAGCCACTTTCTATCCATGTGTTTAGTCTAGGCACTCACACATATCACTGCATTTCTCTCTCAGTGTGCATCCGCCCGTGTGTTTGTGTGTCTGTATCTGTCTTTCCTTTCTGGGTGTCAGTCTGTCTCGTAAAGAGCCCACCCCGAATCAGCCTTGAGAAGCTGTAAAGTCTCCAAGCGCCACAGCGATCACAACACACACACACTCACACAAACTGCACAAACTAGACTAGACTATCAACACGTGTGTGTTTACAGACTTCAGGTGCTTTCCAACCATGTGAACCCTAACCTTATTATTAAGCGGGGCCAAGCTCACTGGTGTGTGAAAACATTCAAACACCCCCTCTCCAACCTCCTACACACACAAAGTCAGAGAGCCATGGACAAGCACTGGAAATGAAGTAGGTACAATGCTTGTAAACATGCTCATTTGTATTTTGCCATTGACATTAGTGTCAGCCGAAGTGACAAACTGTATAAGGAAAGTCCGGGGAAGTTGCTGTAAAACTTTTTGGTGTTCAGAGTTATTACAGGACAAATTATAGCCACAGGGACAGCCATAAATAAACCAAATTCGGTCTAGCTTTCAGATTCAGGCCATGGTTACATGTTTAGTTTTTATTCTCTACTCTGCTCTTTGCTGCTTTGCTCTTGTGCTATTTCTGGTTTAAAATTCACAGTAATCCCAATTAATTGTGCATTCTCATATACTATCTGCGTGATCTTGACCATGACATGCTCTTAAAACACACATTTAATGGTCTAGTTTTATGTTTCCAGGGTTTATAACTATTTGTGAGTGTGTTTCTCACAGACGCAAAGTACCAAAGGTCACTAATCCACTCCAAAGCTGCAAAGCATGACGCTGTTGCGGCGTATTGTCTGGGATTCTATGAAGTGATGATTAAATCATATCCTAAGTATAAAAAGCCAATTAGACAGTCTAATCTCTTTTATAATCATCACAACTGCAACTTTCTTTTCCTCTGTGATCCAGTACACAGAGAGTAGATCTGGACATGGATGAGAGAACATAAACAAGACACTTCTTCCTTCTATGTTATGATATACTAAACTGATGAGTAACTGAGGATGATCACATAATAGAATGGTTCCCATGTCATTTGAACTACGTCGCAAGTCAATACAAACGTCATTAAGATGACAGAAACAAAAAACGAAACCAAAAGGGAGTAATTCTGAAACCAGTTTCAATTTACCCTGTTTTCTCAGGTGATATGAATCAAAGTGCTTTTAGCTTTGTTCAAACTGAGCTTTACCGTGGAAAAAGATTAGGAAAAAGGTGAGTCAAAGAACAGATGCATTAAGAGCTCTGTACTTTGTACTTTCTGTGTGTGTGCTCCTACATTGCTGAATGGATGTAGTGGCAACATTAGAGCAGGAGTGAAGAGTAAATAAAGACCACATGGAAGAAGTGTATGTGTCCTTCTGATCTTAAATGCCTGCCTCACACAGTGACTCAAGCAGATATGATTAGTATACAAATGAAAAGATTACGACTGCAAAAGCCCAACATACAGAACAGATTTGAGTATATGTTCATGAATCATGATGGTCACATATTTGGCAGCATTAGTGTGTCTTGCCTGTGGGGTCACAGAGGATAATGTGGCCTTCAACTTTATCCACTTGTTTGTGTCACTTGTTCTCATTCCTGAAATGAAGTTACAGTGATAACATCTCAAAAGACGGCTTAGTTGTGTTATCTTGGACTGTCTGGCAGCTTTTTCTTACTGTAAGATTGAAATTGCAAATAAAATACAATAAAAGAGGATTTGAAGGAAGGAAGGGCTCTTTTTTATTTATTCTGTCTTATTTATTACTTATTTCTGTCAACCTTGTGTGACCTCTAGGACTTTTTGGATGGTGCGGGCCCGAGCCAGCGTTGCGACCTGCCAGCGAAGCTGCTCAGGAGGGGATGTAAAGCCGAGTTCATGGAGCAGTCAGAGATCAAGGTGGAGGTGAATGCCACAATCAGCAGCACGCAAGTGTCCCCACGAGACATCAGCATCAACCTCAGTCCAGGTAGGCGGCAGGCATCAAGTATAAAATGGTGGATCTCTGATATGCTCTTACTGTGTTAATGAGTGATAAAGCAGTTCGATTATTTTATTATATGTTTTTGTGTGCGTGTTTGCGTATGTGTGTGTGTGTGTGTGTGCCCAGGTTCAGAGGCCAGCATCATCGTGTCTGTGAAGCAGCTGGAGCGTTATCCTGTGGATCTGTACTACCTGGTGGATGTGTCGGCATCTATGCAGGAAAACCTTGATCATGTAGGTGTAGCTGTCAGTGTTCCTCTCAGTGAGTCAGTGCTGAAGCATGTTACTTATTTATCTTAAGGAAAGAAGATCTTCTATCTTAAGAAAGAGTTGTTCTTGTTCCCAAGGTTTAAACTAAACCATCACAACTTTTTTACACAAACTCTCAAGTTGTTTTTATCACGGTTGGGAAAAAACAAGTTAGACTCAGATAACAGTTTAACATTTGACATGGAATAAACTAGACATTTTAGAGCTTAAACATATTTACTCTCTTTAGTTTTCTATCTCACCCTGTATCTCTTCTTTGCTTCTTCATCGTTGTCTTCTTCTGCTTCTCCATTTTGTCTTCCTGCGTCTCTTCCTGTGTGCCATTCTTTACCTATCCTTGGATTCCGCCACCCTGTGTCCACCTGCATGTTTTCTGTGGTGCAGTTAAAGACGGTGGGCATCGCTCTGTCTCTTCTTATGACGGAGCACTCCTCAGACCTTTGGCTGGGTTTCGGCTCTTTTGTGGACAAACCCGTCTCCCCTTACATCAACGTCCATCCCACCAAGATCAACAACCCTTGCAGGTTAGACACAGAATTTGTTGGTTGGATTATTGATTGCTGAAAAAAGTAATTTAAATCCTCTCTTGCTCATTCTCTTGCTAGTGAATGAGTGGAATTGATCTTTAAAGTGGACCTTGTTATATTCTTCAGATAACTTTTTCTTCTTTTAATGAGAAAAGAAAAGTGGTGTGATTGGAGTGATTATTTTAAAATACAAAGTTGCTCCCACTTTGGTGTGACTCAGGGAGAGATTTGTCAGTTGTTACATTGCTATAATGATGAGCTGTGCTGTGCTGGTTGTTTTGGAGTTCTACACTCCTGAATGTTGTGGATAAACACTTTCTTGACCGTCTTTGTCTCTCACCAGTGATTATGAGATACGCTGTCGTCCAGCCCACGGCTTCCACCACGTCCTAAGCATTACAGGAAATATGAGCGAGTTCACACATGTGATCAAACGCCAGCGCATCTCTGGAAACATGGACACACCGGAGGGAGGACTGGATGCTATGCTGCAAGCTGCTGTCTGCCAGGTGTGTATGTACAGATGCTGGGAAGTCAGGCTCAAAAGAGCTACATACAAAGAAAGAGAGTCACCAAAACATTTTGAGATAAAGTTTTCTTTTTAGTTTCCTTGAGTTTCTTGAATATGTGAGAAAATAGGCATAACCCCAAATTAGGTAATAAATCGCCATGCTGGTGAAAGAGGCATTTATTCAGGGAGAAGGGTGGCACTCTGACTCAGCATTGGATACTACCACTAGAATCCCACTAAGTAATGACACCACTGCTGGGATATGGCAGACACACACACACACACACACAGAGTTGCTTATATTATGGCAGCAGGAGGGCTGTGAGTCAGACCATGCAGGGGGCCCTGAGTAACCAGTCTGCAGGGAAACACCACGGTGGTCATGACTCCAGAAATAGACTCTCCATTATGTCAGACCTACTTATAAGCTCACTGGGTTTTCCTAAAATATACACATGCACACATACGGACTCACATAGGTCCACTTTTTTCTCACACTCTATGACGAGTCACAGACATAAAGCCAGAGACTGTGACTGGTGGGAGATACTGCTTTTCATTTATGGTCAGAAAGAGCTAATCTCCATGGGAACTAATGTAGTTCAGATGAGTGAAATGTTTGAATTTGCAGTTTCTTACCACATGTGTAAACCTTTAAAACATAAAGCATGCACATAGTTCCCAAATCAGCTCTCTGTAAATGCTGACAGTGATAAATAAGGGAATAAAAATGAGTTTCTCCAGAAACAGAATACACATTGGCACCAAAAAACACTTTGTCACATGTGGTATCTCTGAAGAGGTGTTATTCTAGTCCATAGATCTGTTCAATTCAAAAGAAATGTAATGGTAAACATGATTTACACTCATTACATGATGCCCTCTCTGTCTTTCTTTTAGAGAGCTGTGGGTTGGCGACCAGAGGCCAAGCGTCTTTTGCTCCTGATGACCGACCAGCCATCTCACCTGGCCCTGGATAGCCGGCTGGCAGGGATTGTCACGCCACATGACGGCCTGTGTCACCTGGAAAACAATGTCTACACAGGGAGCACTAGGATGGTGAGTGGAAGAGTAAACGCACTGGGAAGTCAGGCTTAAAAGAGCTGAGCATTTTAACTGGGTATTCAAAGCTGTTGAAAGTTCACATGGTCTTAATGTGGACTGTGCAAATTACTACATGGACTTCAGGGGAAGTCTAATAGATTGTCAGTCATTGACAGTGCAGTACTCTAATTGCAGATTGACACATTAAGACACATTAACATAAGGTAAAAGTCATACTACAGGAATAGTTAGACTAACTTTCGGAGAAGATCAGTGCCACACACCAGGAAGAGAGACTCCAGTTTCTGCGCCCTGCAAAGAAATAGTGTAAAACCACAACTTCTGGTCTAGTTTTTGTTTGGATCAAACAAACAAGATATAACGTGTTAATCTGTGAGGTTTAGAGGTGTTGACAGGCGGTTTTTGGCACCTTTAGACAGAGCTAGGTTAGTTTCTAAGTCTGTTAAGTTAAACTGGCTGGTTGCTGGTGGTAGTTTCATATTATTGTACAGAGTAGTATTGATCTTCTTATCTGATTCTTGTCAAGAAAATGAATAGGCTTATTTCCCAAAATGTCAAACTGTTCCTTTAAAGCCAACGTGGCCACACACTACTATGGACTGTGTACACTCTACTATGTGGGGTGCAGTTGACATGTGGCTGGTGTAGACTTTGACTTTCACAATGCTAAGGCACATTTTAAGATCATAATTACATGATTGATGATACAGATGACTGTATACTAATAATATTAGATTTAAACTTGATATGGTACAACAGAGTATGTTGTTGAGGATGTAAGATTTTTTGGGATTTAGTCTCTTGGTTGCCTCATTTTCAGGACCATCCCAGTGTGGGCCAGTTGTCTGATAAGCTGCTGGAAAACCAAATCTTCTCCATCTTCGCTGTGGAGAAACAGCAGTACCAGTGGTACGAGGTAATCTCTCCCACACAACAACACATGCCCACAGCTGTGGAAAGTGAGAAAACATACTGTAGTTCTGAGGGTAGGGAGTAAACATCTGCCCCGCTCACATGTACATGCAAGACAGTGAATCCCCCATAGCTTCAGTGATAACTTGTCATGCTAGTGTAGTTTTAGTAAAGTCAAGTTTTTCTTCACCCTTGTTTCCCTTTGCTTCTCTAGGAGTTGGTACGTCTGCTACCTGGCTCCTATCTGGGGAAGTTAGGCCTATTCGATGCTCCGAACCTTATACAGCTGGTGGTGGACGCGTACAAGGTACAGAGCACTCACCTACTTTCTCTGCAACTTTAAAGAACTAACTTTTTTTACAGTTTCATATCCCGTTGTCCTCCCTTGGTAAATTATTCATCCTTTAGACAACAAAGAGAGGGAAGGGGACAAGTGAAAAGTTAGAGAGAAGAAAGCAGCAGCACAGCATGAGCTGAATTCATGGGCCCACGCAGTTATCAGCTCAGAAGTGTTGAGGCATTAGTCTGCTGATCTGCTGAAGCCACACAAACTCTGTTTTCAGTTATCCTTGTTTAATCATGCAATGTGAGTAATAGCACATTCCTGTTTGTAGAAAGAAAGCCTCAGAATCAATGATATCATGGGATGATTCTGAAAGTGTGTACTGCTTTCATTTATCTAGGAAATTCAGGTTTGACTGTGCAGAGAAAAAGGACCGACACTTGTAATGAAAATTTAAATTCTGAAGTTGGGAAAACAGATGAATGGTCACTGAAGGCCTAATGATACAGAAAAACACAGATGAAAACAGGAGGTTATGGAGGGGTAAGGCCTTATGTGTGTGTATGAGTGTGTTTGTGTGTGTGTGTGTTTGTGTGTGTGTGTGTGTGTGTGTGTGTGGGGTTCGTTTAGTTGGCAGCAGTCTAGGCTATAATCTTCCCTCAGGCACAGCGCTCCATTGTTTGCTTCGAGAATCTGCCGAATCCACAGATCCGGGTGCACAGCCCCGCATACGTGCAGAGACGCAGAGACAAACACACACACACACACGCTGCAGAGCCCGAACAGAAGCTGGCATTATAATAGCTATCAGATCCCCACGGAAACCATGTGTCCTAATCACGGTTGAATACAAAGATGCTATTTTTGGCCCCACCTCCTCGTTCCCATGAACCACCCTGTGTTTCAGAACGAAAGAAGGGACGACAATGAGGGCTTTCTGGGGACATGTGACAACTTTAATTAATCACACTTTCACTTTCTGTGTCTCTTTCTCGCTCTTGCCTCATTACTTTTCTCTCACACAGATTATGTTCATTAAAATTTTAAGATGTCACTGTTCTTCCCACTGTCTTTTTCTCTCAACCTACAATCCCTTGCAACCAGCAGAATTTCTTGATATCAGGTAGTAAACTTAATGTTGCCTTTTCATCTCTTTCTGCTCCTCGCTGCATCCAGAGGTTGTTGTCGGAGGTGGAGGTATCAGTGTCAGTCGAGGACAAGGCCGTCAGCAGGTACTGGGTGTCTGTATCTCCTCTCTGTCCTGATGGATCCACTGCTAAGGACAAGAGCTGCTCGGGGGTGCAGCCCAACCAAACGGTAAACACACAAGCATACCTTCAGTATCGAATCACATGATTAATACAGTGCAAGGATTTAGCTGAATGTTACTTGTATGTACACAGAAAGCTTAATTCATGCCCCCGGAGATGTCACAGGACATTTATTGGTTGTATTGAATTACTGTGACACATATAAACACTCACACACGTACACAAACATCACTGAGAGCTGAAGATTTGGTAAATAATCCGAGTTGAGCGGATTACAGGCTGTGTTTAACAGGAAAACATTTCCATGTGATTCCATGGCCTTTTATGTCCCAAATCCTTACTTTGCCCAATATGAGAACCTTTACGCAAACAAATTTATATTTAGAAATAGGTCGTCGGATGTGCTCTCATACCTGCTCCATTTATCCACAAAAAAAAAGCCTTAAATAGTCTGTGCCACTGCACAGCTCTTTTTTTGATACTTCTCAACTCTCTACAGGAGCTTTTCTGCTGCAATAGTAATGATTAGACAAAAGGCTTCTGTCAAAAAAGGTTCAACTATAACAACCAGAGACCTCCTTTTGCTACTAATAATAGCATTTTCAGGAAGTTCTCTATCTATTCTCTCCCTGAACTTCTGATGAGACTCCTCTGTAACCTTTTGGGACTCTTAACTTTGTCAAAGACCAAGTTGCTTAATCACTGCTCTATAGTTGCTCCATTGTACAAGGAGACTTTAGTTCAGCCCCTTAATCCATGGGTGGATTAAAGTGAATTATGGAAAGTACCCACATTTACCAGAATGGTGATAAAAATCAAGCAAAAGAAAGCTTTGGCATGCACAGCTTTCCAACCACATCAACAGAATAATTATTCACATTAAGTCTCAATTAGAATCTACTTGTTGGTTATTTACCCAACTTTTTAAGCCATATCAAAGATTGCTACAATTGTGCAATGAGAGGTAGCTCATTTAATGTTATTCCTTTTAGATGTATACAGGAAGTTTCATGTGGAAAATTCATTTTCATTGTGCCAGGAACTGTATGATCTCTAAAGCAACAGCAGACTCTTGGTTAAGGAAATGGTTGTTGAATAGTCAATCATTAATCTCTTTTGTGAGTATGTTTTTTAACCTGTCTTGCCTTGAATATCCGTTACGCAGTAGAAATAAGCTTTGAGCGTATCCACAATATATTTACTGTTTATCAGGACTAGGTGATTGTAGTCTTATACTTTCATCTAATACTGTCAAATGAATCTACCTATCTACTAACAAGGCACAGCAGGGTTCTGAGCTAAAAGCTAACTACAGCATGCCTACATGCTTACACTGACTCTGCTAACATGCTGATGTTTTGCAGGTATAATCTTTACCATGTTAGCCAGCTTCGTTTAACCTGTTAATATGCTAATATTTGCTAATAAGCACTAAACACAAAGTACAGCTAAGGCTGATGGGAAGGTCAGCAGCAGGTAACCAAAGTATTAAACAAATTAAAATTTTATCAGATGATGGGCAATATAAATGTCAATTCAACCGTACTGTATTGGTATAGTGCCAAGTCATAACAGAAGTTATCTCAGGACACTAGAAAGCAGGTCTAGGCCGTACTCCTTATAAAGAGACCCAATAATTTCCACAATTCAGTTGCTGTTTATTAAACTATTCTTCCTATACAGGTCTACTTCAATATCACCATTGGCCTGCGCTCTTGTCCTGAGGATGGTGAAGATGAAGATGTTACAGTAATGGTTCGCCCTGTTGGTTACAACGAATCCACCGTCGTTAGGATCCACTCGAAATGTCGCTGCAGTTGTGGACCGAAAAAACAGTGCAAT